AGTCAGTCAGTCAGACAGCACAGATGGCAGAGTAATAGATGGATAGCAAGAAAGGAAGAAAAAAAAAAAGAAAACAGGCTCAAGCTATTTTCTGATTTTACAAAATGACACTGACTTTAATGCAAGATAGTTTGCGGCAAGTTCGGCATCTTTGGTAGCTGTTACATTACCCTAGCTGGCAAGCTCCAGTTTGAGTTAAACTGTCAAGCAAGATAGCACATATTGAAATATGTGTAGTCTATGCATACACACGTGCACCCATGGTGACCCTGAAAACACAGAGACCTCCCACCCCAAATCCCAATATAACTCCTGGACATATCTAAAAGATTCTGTGTGTGTGTTCTGAGTAACAAAAGAACTTGCCTTGTTGCCAGTGCTTGACCAACACTCAACCTGTGTCTCTCCCTAAGAAGCCCTCATATGCTACACAGAGGCCAGCGGGCTTGAAGTGAATTTTTGACAGGTCAGTAAAACAGAAAAAGAAAGTGACCGAAGACAGAAAATGACTTTGGAAAGAGTGTCTGGGGATGACAGCTTGGATAAAAAATAGACCACTGGTAAAGTTTAATCTCAAAACAACAAAAAATACACATTATATTGGAGAGGATGAAACTGGTTATTTATACTGAAACACACATAGCATAGGTTAATATTACAATTATTAACATTTTTTATGATGAAGCAAGAAAGGAATTAATTAAATGAATTAAACATGAAACAATTAATGACAATTTCAGAATCCAAAGAAAGAAACCTACAAAACAGTCACAGTTTGAGGCAGACAAGAGCTTGCAAACTGAAACCAGAGCCAGTACCAAAAATGAGTCATATTTAATTCAGGATACTTGGCCTCAGGTATGAGTAAATTCACAGCTGTACTCTCTCCTCCACTTTCTCTTTTCTCCTGTCATCTTTTATTGATTTACAGCTCAGATTACATTTCCATGATATATCTGGGTGCAGAGGCATTATCTCCCAAACAACCACAAGTATCTCAGGCAATATTCAGAATGATCCAGCCACATGCTCCCTTATCCATAACCCATAATAACAATACCCTCTATGCATACCCAGCTGCTGTATGCCAACGAAAGCCATCGGCCCATGCATAATTCCTATATTCCTTATTGTCGGCTACACATACTGTACATTACCAGAATGTCTTTAAATAATGCAAAACTGAAGGCCATGCATGATGGATCCACATCTCATTGATTTCCCATTGAAGACTGAGAAATATGGCTGGGTCCATAAGTCACTGCATACATTTTGCTCATGTGTCACCAGGCCTGATCAGTTTATATTATTTCTATGTCAGTGACAGGCCTACTGGCCTTTTTAAATGGGTTGTATAACAGGGGTGAACTCAGCAGGCATGAATGATATTGGCTTTTGCAAAACTACAGAAGGACTTCAGCGATTGATATTCACGTCTGTAGAGCTCTGCATACTTTGCAAAGATAAAAGGCTAAAAGCTACAGTAGAGTCTGACTCCAATGTTGACTACAGCAGTATCAGTGACCTTGTAACCCTAACCCTTGCATGTGTTGTCAGACAGTGCGCATCTCCTCTGTGGATGTAATGCTTCTTATTCTCTGCTGTTATGGTACAAAACTTAAATTTAAAAAATGGAAAAAACCCTGCACACTGGCTTACTCCTTTCATATTAATTGATGATGCTTTATGCCTCAATTAAAATACATAAATCGTAACTGAAATACTACATGCGATTACTATTTGTTTAGACAAGATTTTTAATTGTCACGTCAGCACCTACCATTGCGTAAAGGGAATTACTTTCCCTTGTGCAGGTGAAATAAATCTCACAAAAGTATGTGCAAGTGTTTAATATCAGTATGTCTGGCTGGGAGTTGGTGTTGGGTTGGGACTGAGGGGAGCGGCAGTTTAACGAACAGCTATAGTGATGATGAGGCACAGACATCGCAGAAGAAGCTGATTGTCCAGCCTGGAACACATCAGCTGTAATGCCAGTTCAAAATAAGTTTCATTGCTTGTTTTACAGAGGAAATACAAAGTTCACGTGCAATGTTTTCCTCGTAGATATTAGGGACATGATCTGTGTCACGTACTGCTACCATGTTGTTATGCTACTGTTCATACTTTGAGCAGACAGTGTAAATTCTAGCACTAAGTTATGCTCCACAACCTAAACTACATCCAGACCTTCTGGCCTCGGCATTACTAAACCACAGGATGGAAAGATGATGAAGACTAGAGGGGGAAGCTTGGCGGCCACAAATGGACATCCATCTTATTCGCAATATCTTTTGATCAAGCGGATGTGGCAATTATCCGCAGTCAGTATATTTAATTTGGGTTGTTTTGTGGAAATTAGGTGCCCTGCTTGAAATACATGGTGTTCTATTAAATCAACTGGTGAATGGGTACTTGTGTGAAATTGTACCGTGTGTCCGGCAGATCTCTGGTGTGAGAGACAGCTGCAAACGGGGGTAGGATGTCTGTGGGTTTAATGTTATGACGGTATGATTGATTTTTATACACACTAGAATGGGATTAAATTCCAAATGAAATGGGTTTTTGATGAGAGAGGTTTTTCCACGTACCTCAACCTCTGGACAAAGGCTGATATGGAAACTGATCAACTTATTTTTGGTGTGTGGTAGCTCCGGAGCTGGCAGCTACGATCCTTATGAATCTTCAACGGGGATATGGTCTTGGGGTGCTCTTACTCATAGATACTATAAGTTACCAGAAGAAGTACTTTTTGGTGATGTGTTGAACCGTTGTTAAATGTAGTTGTGTTGGTGATGTCTTATTTCCCCTCCCTTTTATAGGCACAACACTCAACTAAGAAACATTTGGTCAAAATAATATGAAAGTTTACTGGTACTTAAACCTCAGATAGTAACCCTATTTGTTCAGTATTTACTGTATAATTGTTCCAATAGCGAGGGAACCACAATAACAAAAATATACACAGTGGAACTACGAGGTTTTATGAAATCATTTGGAAGTACAGTGTGTGGTATCATTAACATGACAACTGGCTAAGTGAAATAAACATTTCTGTTATTCTGACTTCACAAAAAAAAAAGAAATATATTATTGTTGCTATAAGAAATGATTAAACTGCCCAACTTAAAATTGAAAAATGACACGTATTATAGCAATATTACATTTCGAGGATAAAATGTCTCAAAAATTGTCAAAATTTGACATTTATGGGGCGCCCTGGTGGCTCACCTGGTGACAGTGACAGGGCTGACTGTGGTGGCCATGGGTCCACTGAGTCCCACCTGTGGCCCTTTGCTGTGTGTCCATCGTGTCAAAGGTGAAAAGTCCCCCCTAAAAATCTATAAAAAAAAAAAATTATGAATTGTGTTTTTTCTACCATCGCACAAGAACCAAATGGAAACTCCCCCACCCCCATTTTCAACAAAGTAACCTGCATGTAGTTCTGTGTTCAATAACAACAGGTTTACTATAAACTTGAGGTCAGAATTAAACAATAAGTCACTACTAATTTTCATGTTTCAAATCTTCTTCTTTAACACATTATTCATTACTAACTCTTTACAAAAAGTAAAATGTTTGTATTATTTATTAAGAGTCTAAGAACCAAAAACTAAGCTGCTCTGCTTCATCATGGCTGTGTGAGTGGCACATTCTGCATCAAATGAGGCTAAATCCTGATTGGTGCAGGGAAATGAAAATGTTATGTTATCTTTTTCCAACTGAGCCATGTCCACTTAAAACCAGTGAGTTTATAGTCCAGAAAAAACACAAACACAGAAATCTCTAATGTGGAATAACCGAAACACTTCAGCAGACTATTGTGCATTCATATAGGACCCCATTAGCCATAAAAAGAAGCTATTTGAGAAAATATGTTTTTGGGGCCTTAAAAAACATCTCTCACATCAGTGATGTCTGATTTAATCAAAACATTGCTCAGCCCTAATGGTGACTCCCACCATAGCTCTTAAAATTGGTTAAGTGCTGCGATTTTTATTATTTCAGACAGAAGAACTATAAAGCACGATTTTAATTATTGCATTACCCGCTAAGATTTCTGTTTGGGCAAAGAACATAATCCAAAACTTTTCCCTTTTACCTGAAAACCTTTTTGTTCTGGTACTTCAATGAGTTATAACCATATGCTTACAAGTCATAACTCAAAAGCAACATGAATACATATCAGCAGCAGACTTGTGTAAGCCCAGTGTTTGACCTTTGAATAATTGAGGACAATATCTGTAGGTGGCCCTCCCACGCCTGTCATCCCACTGTTAAGCTCCTTGCCCAGATGCACACTCCGGGCGAGTTTTTAACACTTGAAAAACGCTCTTTATTCAATGAGTTATACCAAAGGATTCCCCAAAGAATTTCTTGTCCGTCAGTGACAGCGGTCAATCTCGTCGTTAAGCTTGATGATGCACTTCCATGGCGATATATTGACCTGGGCATTGAGACACCTGCTGGCATTCTACACGGTGGCTGGTAATGAGACTGGGAAAGGGCTGAAGATGAGGGACGAGAGGAGAGCAGAAGAAAGGGAAAAAAAAGAGAATAGGAAGCAAGGACGGGAGGAGGAGAAGGATCCTGGAGAGTTGAGCACAACAGACAAAAGAGCTTCAAGAAACAGGGAAGAGTAGGGTACAAAGAACAAATGCCAGAGGGAGAGTGTTTATCTGGATGTCACACAGGGGCTAAGGGATGGGAGGCTGTGATTGGAAAGACAAATCGCTTCATTCACAAAACATGAGCTTTACAGAGACACATCCAGCCAGGCAAAGTGCAGTGGAACTGAATTTGGATTGCCAGCTTTGACTGCTTGAGATAATGACGTATAAAACAGTAAACTGTCACAATACTTCTGTTATAGACTCAAGAAACCCCTGAAATTCCCTGCCCAGAGGACCCCGAAAACAAACAGCACATTAATTTTGTTTCTGAATATAAACAAGTTGTCCTCATTTTTTTAATTTCCAAATAATTTAATGAGTGTGATTTAGAAATACTCATGTGCATAAATAGGAAGAATGTATACTTTGAGAGAAAATCACTCTAAAATCAATGTAGTGTACACACAAAATGAAGGTAATTAAGTGAGTCCAAGGGCATCAATCAGGACAGCTGCTGTGTGATGACATTATCAAGGGAGCCTTTAGATCTCTCAGAGTCCCTTTCATCCCAGTTGATCCTCATATTGCTTACGGAAACAGTCTCCCACAGGAAAGAATTCCCAGGAACGCTCCTGATACATTTTCCACACATAGGATTCCTGGCAAAGACAACAGTGTGGTAATACACAGGTGGGTGACAATTTAAAGGAAGAACTAACACAAACCTCCAAGTCTCTGGAACCCTCTCTAGTCTCCCGTAGGTGTTTAACTGATTCACATCATTTTCATTCTAATCAAACCCTTCAATGGCACCTCGTGTCCTGTTTGAAAGCGTCTGCATTTTGTCATGTTTTTCCATTCATCTATTTCCTTTAATGTGTCATCCATCTGTATCTTTAGATCACTTTAGATCAGTAAAATAACTAAACAGTGTCCACAAAGAATACAACTGAAATTTTAAGTTCTTTCTATGTTTGACTGGCTTGATGGAGTTACATTTTCCACATTCCTCCTAGCAGCTACTTCTTTAATCTATAGCTAAAAAAAAAGCTCTCTGAAAGACTATACACACTATATCTAGGGATGAGTTCCAGGGACCCAGCTCAATTTTGGAAAATTGTCATAATATATAATTCAGGCCGATAAGAAATTTAATATTTTCTTCCTTTTGTCAATTCTGCAGTATCACATTCAAAATGCATTCTGTGCCACAAAGATAAATCCAAATTATTCCAAATAAGATGGATTTATTATTTTTCTATTACTCTGTGCTGCATTCAGAATTAAACATGTTCTCATCTCTTCTGATGCGCATCCCTTTCATAGATTTACGTAAACTAAGTTTGAAACACAGGAGAGAGAGAGAGAAAGAGAGAGAGAGAGAGGAAGATGCAGCTTCTTTGAAATTGAAAATGTTTTTGCTGATTGAAAGCCCTCCTCTTTGCTCCTCGATGGAACAGATCATTTAAAATGTTATAGTGAAAAGATTAGAGAAATAAAATACTTGCCCACTTGCAATTTGAAACCCCCACTGGCAATGGTTTATAAGTAAAAAGAGAAATTATAATCAAGGGGTATGCCTGGCATGAATATTATCATAAAATGTGCGTGTTGGGACTGATAGGACTTTTGAAAGACAGTATGAATACATATTCTGTCTTAGTTGAAAAGGTTACACCACAGCTTTGTCATTGCAGTGGCAATTGCTGAAATTAAAAGGTCACTGAGACATGGAGCAACCATTGTGGAGCATATATTATGGAAAGTGAGATTTGGCCATGACAGAATTGTTTAAGAGCTGCAGAGGTTTACACCTTGCTCTTACTTTGACTGGATCATGCAATAAAACAGAAGAGATAATTATTATACCTGCCCCGTGTGTTCAGTTTCATCCTTGTTAATAAGGTACATCAGAAAAAATCTGTAAGGACACAGAAGAGGGTTTCATGTCACATACCTCCCCCGTACATACTTGGGTTTAAATACAGGGAAATACACACTACAGGCTAAAAAGTTGTAGCATTAAATTAAGAGCCTGTGCACGTCCTAGGATTATGGTGAGTATGGAAACAGTTGGTTAGATATTTGAAGTGGAATTACAACTAAACATAGCAGCCGTATTTTACAATCAGGTCAAATATTTACTTTAATGCTTGCAAATATTAGTTGATTAACAAGAAGCAAGTAATGCTGACTAGTGATCTCTCACTTTATTAAATTATGATTTATGAGGTTTCAGACTGTGGACCTTTACCAGGTAAGCTTAAAATGTTGTATGAAGGACTAGCATACATACATAAACATGAGCAGGGAAGAGTCCACCAGTCAGAGGAGTCTAGTGTTGGTGGAACATGCAGAACAGTTACAGTGACAGGTGAGTTTTAGTATTAAGTTGAGACACTGGCAACCCGAGGCACGAAGGTGGTGAGCATGAGTCAACTCACAGATAGTTGGCCAAGTTGTGCTCCTGTAGAGTGTGGGTCTCAAAGCCATGAGGGACTTTATCAAAGTATTCACTTCCTATTCCACATATAAAACATTTGGTCTGCAGGAGGAAAGATGTAAGACATGTAATGATTCATGCAACAGGCCTCTCTAAAGTATGTTGGGGAAACAAAATTCAAGTCAATTAAATTCAAACCTCAAGACCAGAGGCCTTTTGTTGTATTACTCTGCACTGTGACTCAAACACAGTATTTAGTCTGCTAAGTCTACAATATGACACCTTTTAAGTTGTTTGTTTTTGAAAAGACACTAAAAGGACGCCCACAAAAAGAAAAAAGACTGTAGGATTACTCACTGGCTTCTCCATAGACACAGAGGGGCATATTTACTGGGGATTTGCATCATTTGGGAGTACTAACCAGTCAAATTACTGTTGTTTACATTCTTATGTATGTATATACAAAGGTTTTATGCTGGTAAAATTTGTATTTTTGGGTTAATGCAAAATGTATTTTTGAACATTCCTATTTAGGGCTTTGAATTACGAGAGGATAGGAAGTACAGTAGCAGCTGGAATTGATTTATCACTGCAGCAACTTTCTGAATTAACAATTAGTAGCATCTGGGGAAAGCAGCTGTAAAATCTGTGGCACTGTTTTTTGTTCTTTTTGAGACACACAGTGGGACAGAGACTATATAGTCACTAAATGGTGTTTTCCAGAAATCTTGCTTAATGCCAAGTGGTGCGGATAACCATGAAAAAGGCACTCCATCTTTAGATTAAACATTATAATTAATTTATTCTTAGACTATAGGCAATAAAAGAGGCCGAGTATTGACTCTAGGTCAGCCTTCAATATACTTGAAGAATAAATTCATTATATAATATCATCTAAAGGGGGCCTTAATCTTTTTCTATGGTGCACCACTTGACATTGATGATTAAGCAAGATTTTTGTTCTTTGTATACCTTCTGTCTAACTAGCAGCCTAACAGCATCTGTCAGATCAGCCATCAGAGCCATGCAGCAATTCCTTCTTCCTCTTTAAAATAATATGACACTACTCATAATAGTTTCACGGCCACTGCTTGCTTCTGTTCTCTTTAGCCTTTGGCAATGTGTAAAACATTTTGCTTGCATTCATTCTGAATCTGATATTTTTATTCGACTACCCAACAGTTGTATGCTATTTTTTATGTGATGTGTTTTTTTCCATGTGAATGTACAGTGGCAGATAGGTTTGTTACTTAAGTGGGGGTGACCATAACAACTATGTGTTCAGTGACATCACATGTGTACCCTTTATATTTGGAGGGTAGCTCACCACTGTTTGTCAGGTCCTCTGTGCTGCCTTGTTGCCTCAGCAGTCCAGCCTTTGATTACCTGCTTTCCTTTCCTCTCCTGCACCTTTGGACTTGTTTGCCTGTTCTGATTACATACCTGCTGCTGATTTCCAGCCTGCCTGACCACATAATAAAGTCACTTTTAACCTTACTTGGCCCCTTACTGTGCCTGCCTGCAGTGTCTGCTTTGGTAGGGTCTTGTTCACACACACTGCAGAGGCATACCTCTGAGGGATGCATGCACTGTTGTTACCACTCAATGAACCTTAAAGCTACTCCACAGGCTCCAACAAAACAGAGATTCCATGTAATTTTGGTTCAGCAGTTCTGAGCAATGCAATTTATGGAATCGTAATCAAGAAGAACTGCATCTTCATTTATATTCTACTGCATCTAGCTTTTACATTTTAAGCCCGAAATAAACTTACATTCTCAAACAACACTAATTATGTCAGCATAAGTAAAACTAGACTCAAATAACAATTGAAACAGACAGAAAAGGCTTTAACAGATACGATTTAACATTCTGTAATTATTATCCACTAATTAGAAGAAAGAGATAATGGTATCCTCTAATTAAGGCCAATGGTTCGATTGTTTCCCGTCACACGAGCTCCCACAACAACTAAATGTTCTAATCTACTTAATCTTACACACACACTGAAGTATATATATTTTAATAGTCCTTGCATCTACATCAGACACAGCATTTCATACTTTATAACCAGACAAAATGTAAATTCAAATTGTTTGGATAGTACAGTATGGAGAGAGTGTTTGTGTGTGTATGTGTAAAGGAAAATGTTTTATCTCACCTCCATATCCTCTTTCACTTGCTCCTGCTGGTCACGCAGCTCCCCAAACGCATCAATTATCAAGCCTGAAAACAGATCATGATTGTGTGAGTCAGTATATTTGTTCGTGCACAGGAATGTGCTTAGCTGTGCCAGTGAAACTTAAGGACAGGAATAGACAGATGCTTTGTTCTTTTTCCACTTCCACATAAAACACTCATCAAATGTAATCAAACAAAAAAGTGTGGCTTGGTAAAAACATGTGGTATACATGTTGAGGCAGGTCTTCATTTCCAAGCAAATACAGTGTGGGAGACTCACCCTGGATGATGGCCAGGAGGATGACGATGACAAAGAAGAAAAATGTGATGTCAAAGAAGATGCGTTCCACCTCAAACTCATCCCCAGCAGGGTCCTCGATCTCATCACCAATGCCCCCGCCCGCACGCACTCCCACGTACATGTGGAACATGTAGCACTGAAAGAAGACATTTTCATTTATTGTATAGCATGTATTCCACCTGAGGATGAGGTCAGTCTTCTCTGAAACTAATCACCAGACAGGCTTTTTCTCCAGCTATCTTTAACAAGGGTTTGAGGTAAGGCGAGGAATTGTAAAGTATCTAAGAAAGACTAAAGTATTGTTTCTCCAAATTCCAAGGATAACACAGTATGTTGAAAATTCAAATGGCAAAACAATTTATTTACTGCATTTTCATCCATGCTTGGTGCTTTCTGGGGGGCAGTTAGAAGTTTCAAACAGGCAACATTTTTATACAATTTCACAGAATAGTTCCAATCAATATTCTTTGCCTTAGACAGTATTTCCCCACAAGGAGTTTATGTGAGTATGAGGCAAACATCCAAGTTGTCTACCAAGAATGGTACTGTGCTTTTAAGTGAAGAAACTTGAACAAAAACAACATAGAAATTGTCCGCTAAACTTTCAAAATTTAAAGCACTTTTTTGTGTAATCATGAGACTGAACAGTTGAGTGAGATGTATTCTGCTTATCTTCAGATATTTGCCATTTTGCATTATACTTAAACTGTTGTGTTGTAATTATGGGAAAGGGATTACAAATCACTGTTGCTAAAGTGCATAAACAATAACACAGACTGAGGATTTAATGTAATATTCCCCACCTACGATAATAGTAGTTTTATTCAAATGCTATCGCTGCCCATCCGCCTGCTAGTGTGAGTGACAGTAGAGTCCACATCAGAATGAAGCAGGTGGTGGGATGTAAATGTTGTGGATGGCCTAACAAAGAGCTATGCTGAGGATTCTGGAGCTGTTTTGTATCCATGTGTCCATCACTTTATGGAAAAGTAGAGGAGGGACGAAGACAAGAGGCTTTTCTCACTCCAACAATGGGGATCACTGTCAGCATCCTCTTCTACCCCTCTCAGTCTGAGGAGGTAGAAAATGAGGTGTGTGGCTGTGTTTGTACTAGAAAGATCAACATAGAGAAATAGAGAGGATAGATAGAGGTAGATATGTGAAGATTGGAGACTACTTGTGTGCGTCAACATGCACATTTAACTCACAGTAAGCATGTCATTGCATTTCATGTCTTGGGTGTCCTTGTCGTCGCTCTTGTTGTAAAACTTCCTGAAGAAGTTGAAGGCCACGACAGTGTAGAGATACACGACGACCGCCAACAGGCCCACAGTCAGGACCAACTGACAGACACACACATAATTACAAAAGGATAGACAGAGGCAGATGGGCTTTAATACGCTTCTTCATCTTAGAAAAGCCCCCGTATAACCCTACAGCATGAAAGCAAACATCACATGCATGCAAACTGCAGCTATGAACACACACTAAGACAGATGGATAGAGAGGACCACCCCACACACACACACACACACACACCTGTTTCCCATTGTGTGTGACAGAGGAAAGGATGGTACGAAGTGTCTTAAAGCCCATGGCGATGTCCAAGAGGTGGGCAGCAAAGAAGAAGTTGTTATAGTGACCCAAGACCGACATGGCCATGTACCAGGCCAAGTATAAGAAGGACTGTGAGCACACACACACAAGGAAATTCACACATAAAAACAGGCAATATAGATTACCAGGACAGATAGAGACAAATGTGTATTTTAGATAAGGCAGACAATCACAGGATATTACCACCGTCACATCTGCAGCATGTACAATTGTATCAAACAAAATTGTAGCACAGTAGAACAAGAGATTGAACAAATTAGGAATAAGTCGTAAAATATCTATGTTTTACACACACTGCTCGTCATATTATATTATCTGTTAACATAAATTGCGGGAAGTGACACCTTTATCTTGTCTTTGTAGGAACAAAGCAAAAGTCATTAAATATTGGACACAACCAAACTTACATTATCAGTGAACACAACTCCTAGTTTCCAGACCTGGTACTTCATGTCAATGGAGTTAAATCTGAAATAGACAGCATTATCAGACAGATACATGAAGGTAAGAACCTAGAAGACAAGGTAAAAATGTACATGGCTAAAATCAGACCCTTGTTGCTACAGTGTCTCTTCTAATAGAGGCTGTCTGTTATGTGGCATCATCTCAGAATGTCCTGTTCTTCTTCAAGTACAACATAATGTTCTAGGACTTTCTTTTGTCACAGGTAACACAAAACCTTACAAACACATACACAATATAGCATGGCTATAAATAATGGCATAGGCTGCTGAAACATTATTTCAAGATGTTACAAAAAGGGCCCAGACAAGAGTTGGACATAACAGTAAATAAGCCCCCCGGTGTAATGTTCATGTTCATCAGGATTCCCATTCACCTCCACAGTAAAATGCATTAGAGAAAGAGCTATATTGATTTCCTAATTTGAACATTTGTCTTTTTATATCAATACCAGGCTGTCCGTATGAAAATTTGCGTCATACAGAGAAGGATGCTACATTGCTATCATCAACCACCTGCTTAACTGCATACCATATTAGCCATCAAAGGCCTGAATTATTTATTATTTATAATTATGATGTACATGCTACACGGAAATACAAACAATTGATGATTATTTTAAGGTCTTGTCCTTTGTTTGTCTCAGGCATCAAACAAACAAGAAAAAACATTAAAAATGCTCAAGACAAAAGACAAAACAAATGACAAAAGATAGCTGCACTCTCCCATGGATCCCTTTAAAAATGCTGCTTTTTACTCACAGAACACTCCAGGCAGTGTCTCTCTTAAGCCTCTTCCTTTCTTTTCTCTCTGAGCTGAAGTCTAAAGCAGCTTGGTCCAGACCTAAGAGTTCACTGATCTTCTCACAGCCATACAAGTCACCATACTTATCCATCACCTGACGGGGGCAAGAAGACAGGTTTACATTGCAACTAAAACAATAGTCTCTTCAGTGTCTTGCAAGAAATAACTAAATAACTGGCTGAATTCTTCCACAGTCTGTGCCATAATGAGATGGCACAGACTGTTGACAAGATGACGGTGCTGCTTCTGATAGCTACTGAACAAAGAAAGGAAGGATTTTCTGATTCCCATGCTGACAATCAAATATTTTTTTAGGGGGCATGGTGTTTGCAACCCCCTATGGCATGGTGGTTGGGTAAATGACTAACGGTAACTCTGGTGCATTTTATCTTTATTGACTGTAATCTCACAGTATATACATCATTTGCATTCACCTGGGCTTATATTTTACTTTCCTATTAAACTGTGTATGTACAGTGAACTGTGGCTAGTAAATACTTACTTAATGTAATCATTTAACAGATGAAGAGTTTCTCTTTATTGCCAAGCTATGGCTCTAAGAAACTTTATGCTACTTGATTTATTAATGTAAAAAACAAGAGCCAGCCAAAGTCTAGTTTTATTACAGAGCCATTTTGTTATTACAAACATTAGTGCTTCACTGTACGGTAAGCAATATTTACAACCTCCAAACTCAAAAGTGGATTACCAGAAGAACTTAAAGACATTATACCATCTATTTTATTGCAGCCTCTTAAAATGATGCAATACAGAGTGTGGCAGTCCTAGACATACTTTATAGAGATCAAGTGGCCACCCCAGTGGCAAAAGGTGCCTTAAGATACACTAATGGCCGCAAGATGGCCCACAAAAATGAAATCCATAAAAAAAAAAAAACAGAACAAAAGAAAATTTGTCTCAATTTCAGTGAACATCAATAAGTTTCTTCCATAAAATATTATGGGCTAAATAGCTACCTTCAATTCTTCTTATATGGATGTTTATGGAAATAAAAAAACTATTTTATTCAAATACATTATGGCTTACAGAGTAACAAGTCTCAGTGGTTCCGCTTCCTTTTCTTACTTGCCCCCATCAGGCCACCTGACATTTCTGAGCAGTAAAATCAAAGCTTCAGAAGCCAGTGAGTGCCATCATATCTCTTTACAGTCTATAAAACAGACAGTATCACTCTACAAATTAACAGTGTATTTCTATTTATTATAGATACATTTTTGGAACAATTGCAAGATACAACAGAAAGTTGTTAAGGTGCCACTATTTAGCTGGAAAGAATATGGCTAATATTCTGAAGACTTTGGGATTTTGATGACTGGTTTGCTTGACTGAATACATCTGTGAACTAGTAAAACAAGATAGAGTACTCTAGCTTGATTTAACAGACTTAAAGTTTTATTTCCCTGCAGTATATTATATAACTAAAATGTTCTTAAGAAATAACATAGGCAATCAGAATGAGGAAGCTAAAAGTGTTGCACCGTCTCTGGAGACAATAAAATCCACTTTGCTACCTGATAAGGGAATAATTACACCTGCCATTAAATGGCTCATTAAATTTCAGTTCGTTTTTTAATGCAGTGTCACTGAGTGAAATATGCACACAATTGCATACATGGATAAGCACATTTGAAATAGAATGTGTAATATTTTTGCTGTTCAAAATCACAGCTGCAGTCCTCTGAATATCTTACCTTCCTCTTTACAAATTTATCCCAGTAATTATTCGGAAATGATCTGAAAAGAGAAACAATTAGTTATAAAAAATATTGTTGATAAAATTGTAATTAAAACCATACTGGTAATTAAAACATTACTGTAAGTAAAACACGCACTATACATATAACAGGTGCTGACAGCGAGCTCCTCAAACATAAAGCCTAAAATGTGTTTTTATTTGATTTTATTTAATATGACATCCTCCCAGTTGAATATGTGGCTATGAACATACGGTGTGTTAATGACCAGTCGGTCCCATTGCCCTTTGATGTCCTCCTCAGGGGGCTGCTCTGTCACATACAGCCCGTCAAACTCTAGCCTTCGTGCCACTTCCTTCTCACGTTTGAAGATCACCAATGGTACCTGTCAATCAAATGCACTACAGTGATCTCTTGACTCTTTGAATACTGTATTGTTAAATTGGCAAACCCTAAGATATCAGAAATTCAGATTAGCAATGTGCTAAACTGTCTGTAAATGACTGTAAATGACTTTATTATAAATCTGCAAAAGGTACGTGCACAAGTCGGTCTACCTTGAGGCAGTAGTAACCGATAATACAACAGAAGGAGATGATTGTGTGTGCTACAGCCAGGAAGTGGAGTGACGGCTTCATGTATCCACTGCTCTCCTCCAGCACAAAATAAACAGTGTCCTTGTTGTCATCTTCAGTAGCAGAGTGCAGCTCCTCCCTGTAAACAGATGTGACCACTCTTTCCCCCTCTTGGGATGCAGGCAAGGATGCTACCTGGGAAGACAGTAAGAGACCAAAAGAAAGAGTGAATTCACCAAAGAAAAAGCATTCTTTATTTGATAAAGAAAAAAGAAACACACAATATAATGCAATACAATTCAAAAGGCAACAGACCACAGAGTTTGATCAACTCCTCTCTGACACAGTCTCTGATGGGGATAGGTATGCTCTCTAGTTAAACTATTACCTGTAGATACCTATACAGGCGCTGGTAAATCTAAACAGCATTTTTAGGAGTCTGCAAATTCATCTACAATAAAGGCTTTTTAACCTTTTTAAGTCAAGTTGATTTCCCTTTGGATTGGGAAGGCCAGAGGGTACTATGACCTACCAGGTAGTCTAAAATAACAGGCATAACAGATATTTTTTAAATTAATCAAAATTAATGTGTCAAATTTTACACCAACCTGGGGTGGCTAGGCATTTTTGTTTTTAGAGGTGGCAGCTGTCACCCAAAGTCAAGCTACTACTGCAAATAATTTAAATATTACAAATTTGCAGTCACAAAAAAAGTTATTAGATTCTTTACTTAAGTAAAATTACCACACTGTATTAATACTCTATTACACATAAAAGTAAAGTACAAAATTATTAGTAGTAAAATGTACTTAAAGTATCAAAAGTAAAATGTTACGCAAATGCCCCCCCTGTGAGTTGTGTATTGTTATATCATTATTATATACTTATTACTGAAGCATTTTACTGTTCAGGGTGGTCCAGGTGCTGTTGTTGACTACTGTTTGTGTAGTTTTAAAGAAATATTTTATGTTTTGTATGTGAAACTGTAATGAAAAAAGAAAAAAAAGAGTAACTGGTAAACAAAGCTATCGGATAAATGTATAAATAATATTTACATGCTAAAAGTAGTGTAGTCTAGGAAAAAGTACCTCAAAATTGTACTATTGTACAGGATTTAAATAATTGTATTTAATTACTTTCTAGTGCACCACTACAAATTTTATGTAATTCAGAATTTTCGCTCACAAGCACACACTCACCTTGTAGAAGAGGAGGATAAAGTTGATTGCAAAGGCGACAAACAGAGCCAGCAAGCGCATGTTATAAAAATTCCTTGCAAAGTAATTCTGTAAAAAAAAGGAAAAATGTGTTTTCTGCCTGTATAAGCAAATTAAAGTGCTTGTAAGTGTGCATGTTTATCTTTGTTGGTGCATGTATCAATAAGTGCACAAGCATGCATAAGTGTATGTGTCTATTACCAGCAGGCTCTTGTTATGAGTGCTTATAATCTCCCAGAGGGCTGACTGTTGGCTCTCTGGTTCCTCTGACTTATTAGAACTTCTCTTGGCTCTCCATTCTGCCTCTGCTTTCTCCTTCGCAGTTTTCTTCTCAGATTCCTTCCCTCTGCACACAGTCCAAGTACAAACAGAGGGAAGGCCAAAGAGGTTTATTTTAAAAGGGAATATCTGAGATAATGAAATCAAACTTTTTTTTTAAATTTTAAGTTTTATTTAGACCCACCATACATTATTACCACTACCAAATCCACTACTGCCATTATTTTTTCTACCTTAACTGACTCAGCATCTATTATTTAGGATGTTATAAATTAGATAATCCCTCTTTGAGGATTAAATTGACTCACTTTGTATGAAGCATTTTCTCATCTTCTGTGTTTTCCTCCTTGGCAGTGTGGGCCTTAAGTTGTTGTCAGTAAAATTCATGAAGAAATCAAAAATTAATAAGAATCAGTACAATATCAAAGCAGTACAACACTGAGAAAATGATGTTGAACTTGTGAGAAATAAAACAAACTGCACATCAAAGACAATATGATACAAAGGTAGAAATGCATCCATACCGTGCCCTGATGCTTCTCAGAAAAATCTGAATTTTTTCTGGAGGTTGTGCTGAACAGGTCAGTCAGACTGGCTGTGAGGTCTTGCGTTATAAGTCTGTATTGACTTCCCTCCTTTTTCACTTTGAGACCGAATATATCCGACAGCACATCGACCTCCCTAGGGGAGGTCACAGCTGCCACCTGCCCGATCTCCCTCAATTCTCTCTGGGAAGACAAACTGGTAGAGTACTTCCTCATCCGATCCACACTACTTGGCACCCCCATGACCTCATCAAGAGTTGGCTCAAGGAAGCCACCCAGCAAGTCTGATATCCTGATCCTCTTGGCTCCCTCTATGAGCCCACCACTAACAAAGGATATGTACAGCACATATATGATGCTGCGAATTACAACAGAAATTAACTGGACCTGAGCCATAATGATCAATTTGAGAAAGAAAACAGCTGACATAAGGATATCCTTCAGGGTCATCTTCATCATTGTCTTCAGGTTTTTGACAGAGAGTAGAGATATCAGCAGTAACAGCCAATGATAGATGAAAAACATTCCTTCGTTGTCCAGCTTTTCTTCTTCACTCTTACTCTTTTCCTCTTCTCCTTTTTCAGCATACCTCTCTCCAGTGTCGGAGCCAGATATCTTGGCTGCAAGCTGCATCTCAAAAATGGTGTCCTCACAAAAATTAACAAACATCTCCATTTTCTCCTTCTCTCCACCCTCATTTACCACATCAAAAATGAATTGCCTCTTGGACTCTTTGACCTGAGGCTTCTCCCATTGTGTGCGGCAGGATTCACTGATCTCAAAGTAGACACGTTCAATGCGCTTCCCACCACCAAGGATCTCAATACGTCCTAGATAGGGCTGGAAGTAAGTCAACACGCACTCTGCCAGTTCCATAAATGTCTTTAGTCTTGAATCATTGGGCATGTGTTCGGACAAATTGGTAAGGAGAACCGCGATACTGAAGCTAATGTCTTTGGCTGGCTCGTGGAAGCGATCCACAAAGGCCTCATAATCCACAATTTCACTGTCGTCAGTCTCCATGCAGGAGAGGAGGAAGTGAGTCTCAGCTTGGGAGAAACGCCGGCAATTGTCCATGGCTTTCTGGAAGTCCTTCCTAGAGATGCAGCCCTTATGATCAGGGTCGTACTCTCTGAAGGCATCTGAGGACGTGAGGTCTTTAAGTTTGAGGAACATGTCGAAAAATTTGAGGATCATCTCCACATTGCCTGATGATTCCACCAACATATCCACCATCTGCTTTCCAATAGTTCCATTGACAACATTACCTACAGGGAAGAGAGTCAAAGAGAGAAATAGTTCATTTAAAGTTTATTTATTAATGATAACTTGTAACTATTTATGATCATAAATTGTGAAAAACAAAGGAGAAAGGAGACTTGCCTTCTAACATGGAGAGCAAAAAAACAACCATGTCCTTTTGTAAATCCATGAGCTCTTTCAGAAGCTCAATTTGCCGTGAATCCTATATATAAGAAAACTTATTTACTGTTAAATTCTTAGCAAATTGTTCTTTTCATTTCATATATTTAGGACACATTACAGAGGGAGTTTACAACAACAAATTAACAGTAAATGTTTTGTATTACTATTGCCAGGAGACTAAAATGAGGCCTGCTCGGGTAGAATCATCATTATCATTTTGTTTCCACAGAATTTAAGAGGATAATAAGCTCATCAAATGACAGTGGATCGATGTGCTATACCTGAGAGAGCTTCATTTGCATGTGGGCAAAGACATGGAGGAATCCCACAACAGCATCCCACAGACGACTGTGAGCTAGACTCTGTTGGTTGCCAGTACATGGGCCCTAGATAAACACATCAATAATGTGAGCTGCATCATTTTAATAAACATCTCAACTAGTAGAAAGAGAAGTTAACTTTCAGACAAATATACATATGCAGGCAAAGAGCAGTAGATGCTGTTATGCCTCTAGGAGCTGACAGGATTATACCTGAAACACAGTATGACTGTAACACGTAATAGAAACTGACCGACCTGTATGTACTCAGTAAGTGTGTTGAAGACCTGTTTGGCCACTTCGATGGCCTTGGAGAAATTGTGTTGGCCGTGTTCATCAATCACATCCTTCCCTGAGTAGTACCAGTAGAAGTCACTGATTGACTCCTGCAGGGTGCCACAGAAAAAATACTTACAGATCATGAGCTTAAAAAAAAACAACATTCTCTTAAAAACAAAATGTCATTGTGACCAAAACACTAAATATAATGTTCACTGTAACTGTGTAACTGTGTAACTGTTACTGTAGTCTCACCTGTACTCTCAGTAAATAGTCCACGGTGGATATTATGATGTTGACAGTGGTGTTGTTGCCTGTTTGTGTTCTCAGGTAATTCTGGAAGTCTAACACATGAAGAAAGTAAAAGCATGCTGAATAAAACCTCAAAAGAGCATTGCAATGAATTTCATTCTGCAAAATGGGCATCAACTATCAGCTCTTATTAGCATACTTAAAAAAACAACAAAGTCTGTTTTGTTCATTTAAGTATGTCTTCCATTAGTTTACAGACATCAATGTCATCTATGTGACCTTTGTGACACTGTGTAAGTGGTTACAGCATAGTGCAAATAACCTGAGTTGTGTCCTTCACAGAGCAGCTGTAGAAAACGAAACAGGTCACAGGTTATGTCTTTGTCAGGCATCACCTTCTGTCCTGAAAAAATAATATACAGAAAAGAGCAATAAGTAAAAGGATGAAGGGCAAGGAATGAGTATCACTGTAGTAAAGGTATGACAGAATGAATGAGTGTACGCAGAATTTAGAGAAGTAAAAGAACAGAAAAACCAGGCCACAATGGAGTGAAGGGAGACAGCTATTGGTAATATTCAAGAATGAAAAAGGCAGAGAAAAGATATGGGAATTTAGAGTATGTTCAAGGCCAAGGATCTCACAGCTGACTGCTTGCTATGGCTCCACAGAAAGTGTTTTTTTTTAATTTCCATATGAATACAGTACCTGAGCTCTCGTCCATGGCCATGCCTAATCCCTCTGCTTTGTTCTGCCTCTCAAAAGCATTCAGATCCAGAACACTGGATAGCAGAAAAAGGCACGCACACACAAAAGGAGCATTTTTATCAATCTGTACGTGAAGCCATTGTGACATTTGACAGGATTTTTTTCGGAGAATTTTCTTCATTTACTCACCTACATGACAGCATGAGTCCAGCCATGCTCTGAAAGAAACCAACATCTCGCTTCTCTCTCAGATAATCCAGCATTTTCTATCAAACAAAAGCATCAAAGACTAGGTCTGCTAAATGGAGGAGGATATCATCTAAAGCAGATATGATTAGCTTAAAAAAATGTATTACTGCAAACTTTGCTGCAGTGTCTCTGTGTAAATGCAGCATATTCATAAGACGACACAGAATTTGATAAAGAAAGTGATGCGTTCTGAATAAGTGAAAACCTACTTTTAGCTTGAATGAAAATACTACTGTATGAATAGTTCAGGTCCTCTTCATAAGTTATTGGCTCTGTTACCACATAATGTATCACAGGACATCTCTACTCATTAAATTTATTAGAACATTTGTTATGCAGCTGCAACAACAGTAGCCCACAGCTTCCACAGACGACAACGATTTACAGTATACCATATTTTACAGCTATACTTTTCTAGTTTTAATATTTTGGGTATTTTCATTCATAAATATATTTAGAACAGAATTGTGAATGCAGTTAATCTACCAATCAAATCTAGCTCTTACAATAAACACATTTCTTAGTATCATCTAATCTAATTTTACCTCCTCTTTATCTTATGTTTAATAACAATAATAATATTTTGTATTATAATCTCTAGCCCCTGCTTGAAAGGGAGAAATGGCCAATGTTAGAGACTTGTGTAGGGAAGTAGTAGTTTGAGGGGGGCATGCAAATGTAGGATTGTACCTGCTGAACAGTGGCATTCCCCCCGCTGAGAACAGCAATACCCAGCTTCAATGTAGGAGCAATCATGGAGCTCATGGCCCCTGATGGGATGTGAAATTTATCACAATCAGAGAGTGTACAGTGCTGACTCAAAATAATATTGCATGACTGCTACTGATCACGATTCACATTAAGAAAAGGGCAAAGTACAAAGAAAAGCTTCACTTTATTATCAGATAGTCCAGCTCATCAAGTATCTTGCTTACGACTGGCTCATCTAAAGTAACAACAACTTTATAAAAGACTAAGAAACAGACTAAGCTTGATATAGTTATATTTACTCCAATATTTGACCGTTTACTACCTTTGCTAGCACTGATGGTTTGCAGGACCATCTCAGAAGCTCCACGACGATGCAGCCTGGCCTGCTGGTACAGCAGCTTCTGTTTCTCCATCTCCTTCTCCTGATTAAAGAAAGGTCAATTTATAACTGTATCTCAACTATTGTTTTAAAATAAAAAATAAAGATTTATAAAGACTTACATACACACATATATATTTCTTATACCATTTTCAAATATATTATTATTAGACAGTCAAGCCAATTACAATTAAATACTATAAACAAGAAACACTTATTATAAACATCTATTTTAAAAGTAAGAGCCCATTCACTCACTTCAAAGCTTTCCCGCTCCTGTTTATCTTCAACATCATAGTCCTCTCTGTGGCAGCTCTGGGAGATCAAACAGACACCCAACAAAAATGGGTGGAAAATAAATCAATATAAAGAAGATACAAAATGTACAAACTCACTGCTGCTGGCTTTTTGGTATATATTGCATGTGACATGGAGAAAATTAAAGCAATATTTAAAAAAAAAAAATAAACTCCCTTTTTAAGTATTTTGTCTCATCACCTGTTTTGAGCATTACTCTGGCCACCAGAACCAGGAATTATTAATTAATTCATTAATTAATCATTACACCTGTGTACAACTATACGTGTAACATTACAGACAGTTGACCCTTTTGAAAAAATGCATGATTTTGTGTATTATGTGAACACTGTAACAAACATTTAGACACTAATCTCATTCTTCATGTTCCGTTACCTTGGCCATTATAGTGGCGTAGGACTGATACAGACTGTCATTTCGAGGCTTACTGTGAAGAAGGAAGGCAGATAAGATAATATTAGTGTATTTTAAGGTATGAACAGATGCAGCATCCTAAAAATGGCTAGTCAATGCCGATACTCACTGGATCAATTTACAGCGCTTAAATGTGATTCTCTTGTTTACTTAGTTGCAGCACCACCCAAAATGCCCCTAAGCAGTGTGTGGCTCCAGAATGTGACCACTGTACTCAAAAGTCCGCCCAGTGGCATTGAACATTTTTATGTTTTTTACACCAGCACACCTGGAATCTGGCTGATTTGATCAGATCTCAGCAGTGACTGCACAAGTGAGACTGCTTTCTCATCAATGTTATGCTCTCAGACAGCATGTGAGTCTCTGCAGGAATATCATGGCAATATCACAGCAATACCTCACTGGGATTGGTGGACCAAATTATGTATTGATAAAAAGAGAACTACAAAAAAACTACAAGAATACATACTCTCAAATTAGTTTGATGAACAGGTAGTTTAAGCATTAGGCCAAAGAAAGAAGAAAGTGATCCACCAATGAAGATTTTAGATTATGAAGAATATGAGAATACTGTTACATTACCAAAAAATTATCTAAGGGAAAAATACATGTCACTTCTAACAGTAAACTTTTCTGTTGGGTGAACCCACAAAGAATCAAAAACATGTCAAATTTCAAGTAATAAAAGTAGACTGGAGTTTTTAATGCATGTGATCTTTTATAATGAACACACACACACACACACACCTCCTTTCTGTCAGGGCGCTTCGACTGAAGAGTGTAATTAGTTGTAGGAGGGGATCGATTGGTTTGGCACCATCCTCCACGTCTTTTTCTTCCTCCTTGTCACCTCCACAGACCTCCATCACTCCTCCCTTCTGCATTCCAGAGAGACAGTGAAGCCACTGATATGTGCTCTTAAACATGTCACGCACTGACCATGCACAGCCTCTGGTGGCTTTCTAAAGTTAACACATTAGGTTTGCTCTCCAAAAAACACACTATACAGTATACACAAACATATATACACAATGATTGTGGTTAAATATTTAAAAATAAAAACACAATAGAGGCTACACAATGTTACATCACACCTGTCAACTTGATCACATATAAGGGACTTTGTTATAAGAAAAGGAAAGGAGTGGTGTCCCAAAGATACTGTGTAACTGATGACTGTCGGAGAAGCATCTTTTATGATTCTCTTAGTGCAAAATGGTAAAGCATGGTAATTTCATGTATACTGCAAAAGAAAAACTGTAGTATTAGTATACAGTGTTAATTTGCAAATGAGATGGGATTGGCATGCTGCCTAGAGGATGTGCTGCTTAGAAATCTTAAATGAGGACGAGAAAGTGCCCTTGCCTGATCACAGAATCAGCTTGAGACATGTGGAAGAAGGAAAATGGACATCTAGGTGAAAGGTTAAAAAAAGCTGCCTGGTGCCTGGGTCAAGGTAATCTAATGTACAGTAATGTCCATAACATGCTAAACCATGCTAAAAGGTGCAATAAACAGTTAATCACAATCAATTCTGGACAATATATGAGGTACAGTCACATTCATCAATAAATAATCGGGGTTATTCATGGAAAGTTGTATTTTGTGTTTCTCATCTGATCATAATTCAAAATAAGACCTGTTTTATCTCGTTACAGAATTATTTTAAACTATTGATGTCAATATGGCTTTTTTCCCCGACTCACAGCTAAATCCTCCACAAGCTTCTCCTCAAAGCTGTGGTCCTCAGCTGATATCCAGGACTTTTTGTAGCCTTGGAGGAACAGGTTGACAGCCCTGTGCCTGGGGAGGAAGAGGGAAGAGTGAAGAGACAACAAGACATTTACATTTGTCTTATGAGAAATGGACTAATGCAAATAAGATATTAAAAAAACAGGCAGCATAGAAGTAAACGATTAAACTATAAAAGAGCTCTGATTAGACTAATAATTGCTCATTCATCAAGGCCTCTTATGGCAATCCAAGGTGATGATTATTACATCCAACAGAGGGTAAGAGTGCTAAACCACAGCTATAATTGAAGAAACACCAAAAAACATTTGTATATCACCTACATACCACATGCAGCCAAAGGGTTTTCATATGCTAATGGTTTTACATTTCCTCTCCATCACAGTAGTGTTTTCTGCACAATGCAGAGCTGCCATTTAGATACTGGAATAGGTTTATTGTCCTGTAGTTCTACTCTAGTTCAAATAGCATATTCACCATTTCTTGGTAAAAAATACAGTTT